GTTTTCATCATCTACGCTCCAGTGCCAAGAATCCCTTCAGATTCTTTCACATATTGAAACCTTAGATGTTACTACACCTTGATCTAAGTCCTAATTATGAACATAATCTGATGAAACAAATGACACAAAACATGATATCCTATTAACATTTATCTTCAAACAATGCAACATTCAATAGCCATGTGTGACAAAGAATGTGAACCTTTATATTCCGTGAACTGGTAGCACAGCCTTGAGCAGCAATGACAGGAGCTCAACATTTCCTGAAACAGCTGATCAGTCTGTCACATTTGTAGTGAGGAATTGTGGATCACCGTCTTGCTGCAAGACCTACATTTGGCTCAACTTCAGATCACAGATTGATGGCCTGATGTTCTGTTCTAGACTCTTCTGATACAATGCAGAATTCATGGTTGTGTTGGTCATCCAGATCCTGAGGCAGCAAAGCAACCCAAAACCATCAAGCTCCCACCAACATGGTTGACAGGTGGGATGAGGTTCTGTTTTTAAAAGCAGTGTTTGATTTATGCCAAACATAATGTTCCTAATTGAGGCCAAAGAGTTCTATCTACCGTGCCTGTCAAGAGAACATTTATCCAGCAGCTTTGTGGATAATCTATGTGCTCTTTGGCAAACTTTAAACAGGCAGCAATGTTACTTTTGGAGAACATTTTTCTCCTTGCTATCCTTCCATGAATACCATTCAAACCAAAGTTGTCTGATAGTTATGAATAGTCACATTAGTGAAGGCAAGAGTGGCATGCAGTTCTTTGGATGTTATGCTAGGGTTCTTCCTCGATGATTCTCCAGTTTATTCTTGGAGAGACACTGGTAGCACAACATCTCCTGGGTAGAGTGACTGTGGTTTTTAACTTTCTTCATTTGTATACTGTCTGAGAGTGAATTGGTGGAGCCCCAAATACTTAGAATTGGTTTTGTTAGTCTTTCCGGTCTGAAGAACATCGATGGCTATTTTTCTGAGGTTCTCTGAGAAATTCTTAGACATGTGGCATGACTTATTTCAAACACATGCATGGTGAAGGCCAAACTCACACCATTTCTGATCTTTATATAGGTTGGGGCCTTACAAACTCAGCCCCCAAGGTCTACCTAATTATTTTAACACCTGATTCTTCTTATTACCTTAATTAAGCTAATTAAACTAGGGGTTCACTAACTTTTCCCCAATATCAAATTTTACTCATTGTTCAATTCAAACATCATTTTGTTTTAAGAGACAAGAAATATGTTACTATAATCATTACTGGATACTTGCGGAAAGAGTGTTTTTTATTTAAGAAGGCCATCAGGGTAAGACTATGAAAATACCATTTTTCTTTGAGATTTGATACACTGATTCACTATGTTTTTCTCGACCCTGTATCTGTTGACATTACAGATGAAATCTTGAAGTCTAGTTTGATTTCTCACCTTTAATAAATTACGAGCTGCATACAACTGTAACTACCGGTTCCTTAAGTTAGACAAAATATATTTGTTATTGGATTGGGCAAAATCGTAATAAAACAGAACACATTCTAATAAGTAGTTGAAACATGGATGTACAGAAAATGTATGGACATTCAAATAAATGGGGTCTACTTTAAATTTATACATAATTATGGAGATGATAAAATTTCTTGATGGCTTTTAAGTGAAATAATTTATGTTCATGTTATTAAAACACTAATATATATTTCTTATATTTTAATAAAAGAATTAAACACTAATTGAAAAACTGTTGAACACTCCTTGACAATATAGATGAGAAGCAATCCATTTTGGACTCTGGTAATCCTGGGGCAAAAGTGCACATCATACCTAAAAAGCTCAGAGCATGTTCAGGGAATCCAATATGATTGATCCAGTTAGCCACATTCTCTGGACTCCATTCTTCCACAACACTCATTGTGTTTTCTTTGACTGTCTCCAGCCCTATCCCCTTCTGTGGCCTGAGGAATAATAATAAAATAATCATCATCATCATCTTTTTTCACTGACTCTTTCCATCAAGTGTTTACAACATAACCATGAGCTTTTGAATGGTCGATCCAACGATACTATGACTGTATCAATCATCCATTTAAATTAAAAGGTTATTGTCTTGACTTGGATTTTTATCCAAGTTAACCGTTGAATTGGTTTAGAAACGGGCGATTCTATATGTTGATGCATTCCTAAACAGTTGTAAATTGTTAATAGACTGAATATTACCCATTACCAGTAAAATATTTCAAATTTGGAATGCCCCATATGTTGGAGAGATCCAAATATATAAAAAATAAGCCACATTTACTTTATCCAGGAAGTGGTACAAAGAAAGCATTTTGTGTAAGTTCCAAAAATATGTTGCAATATAAAAAAGCACTTTTAAATTTCACGGGAAAACTACAATATGATATACACGGCGTACATAGGTTTTGTAATACATTTGCCTTTACAGAAAATCCTTTATATTGAAGTAGACGTATAAGAATCACATTCATTCTTGTGTTTAAACCCCGATGCTGCTTTTTGAAAGAAGGCTGTATTTTAAAATAGGGCGTTTAAAACAGGAAAACACCTGAGACCATTTTGTTGGCTTTGTACATAAGCCACGTACAGTACTGCCAGGCGTACCCGGCAAACTCCATTGCAGATTGCAACGTCCGTGAGTCCGAAGAGCCGGGCCGTGACCCAGGTACGCTTGTTTTTCAAGAAGCAAATCCGTCCAGCTAATACTCTTTTGTATATTAGACGACACAAACGACGAACATGGAATAATTTGCATAAACTCACCTCGCTTTTAGTTCATCTAGATCATGTCCAGATTTAGCTTTACAGCTCTAAAAAGACAATGTAATTTCCCACAGAAACGTTCACCTGGGCAGGTAAAAGGGCGGAGTCAGAGCAAAGCTGGTCAGGAGCATTGTTGGTATTGTAGTCAATGTGTGGTTTACAGAGCTTTCCTGATCATACTATCTGAACGTAGGTCACATTATTTTTAAACACTTTGAAGCATAACATCAAGTTTGGATAAATTATTCCATTCGGATTGTTATTCCAAGAAATCCCATATATCATCATTGTTCAAGACATAACTTGATAAATTTTAATTACATAGCTAATTCAATACACACTCTTGATAAAATAAGGTATGCATGACCCAGACGAAGATGCTAAGTTCCAAGATATACCCATTGTCATGTGATGTACCAGCCAACGATGTCCACGTTTATCTGTCCCTTCCAAAACTCCTGAACGATAGCATTTTTTCGCATAGTGACTAGTTATAGCAGTCAGTTTACACAGTTTAATATTGTGGAGTATCCATGAAACGTATTAGTTTGTGTTCTTCAATACCAGTGCGTTCTTTTCAAAGAAAAATAAGATTACAGAACATAGATTAACTGGAAGAAAAAAAAATCAAACCCATTTGGTCTTCTAACCATTTCTTTCAAACATGCTTCAACAGAACACAATTTTTAAGGTGCTAATTTATGCACCTTAAAACACTACTATGCAACACTACTGTCATGAGAATGTCATCAATTTTTCATTTGTAAACATGGGTCACCACTGCCGCCAAACAGTAGACCTAGGACACTACATTCTTTCCTAAACTTTCATTTGAGTCATTACAAAGTCTCGCAGTACCTTACAGAATTCTTCAGATAAACATTTAAGGAATTGTGTGGTTCACAAACAGAAATGTGCAGGTCCCAAGCGAGTGATGCGTTACCCAGGCCAACTCAACAAAACCACAGAATTTGCTGCACATGGCCAATTGTGTGCTATTGGCTGTGGAATCATGGCTTCCACCATCTAGACTTGAAATGGTGGCTTCTGTACTGTAGGGTTGGAACTTCTCAGCAGGCATCTTTACTTACCGGTGGATCCAATTCCTAGTTTTCTGGTCTTTTTATTTTTTTTAGGTTAAAGTTTTCATTAAAAACAACATAATCCCAATCAATCACATTTGGAAGCAGGCAAGGAGAAATAGTGAATTCTAGGATTATCTCCACCAACAATGATGAAAGAAAACAAGTGACTTTTTACACTGATCCTTTTTATTTCATCTGCATACTTTGTCCAGACATCTTATCAACCAAAGAACTACAAGCTGTGGCCAAAGAACAAGACAGATGCTCATGGGGTGGCGTTTAGTACAGACTGAACCGTTGATAGAGGCAAAAAGATACAAAATATAAATTCTAGAGTTACAACACACAAACGTTTGGATTTTTTCTCTTCTCCAAGACGCTAACAAGTGAGGCACACATATACACATAAACATGATCACAAATGACCAATTCCAAACCAGCAGCTGCCTCAGGTGAACATCTCCCTTTTGAGAAATGAGGCAAAGTGCAAAGAGGGGTTCTGCGTTGCTTTCAGACTTTTTATTTTTAAAAAGCAGCTTGAGAGTGAACAGCAAAGCTCCCCCCTCCTCAGTTAAGTGCTCTAGAGTGGGTCTTAGCACATTTTCAGGTGTCTTTCAAGTTAAGTTAAAAGCTTTTCTGTAACCCTTGCGCAGTTCAGAGGGAGGAATTCATCATTTGTGCTACTGCAGTACTAGATAAGCGTTTCATGGTAAGAGGTTCCCTAGGGCTGTGCACTGAAACTCATGGCTAGGATCTTCCTCTCCCCTGGGCCTTTAGACATTGCTCAGAGCATCCACACCAGGCAGGACTTTACCTATTATAATTAAAAAAAAAAGAGAAAAACAATTTAAAATTATTGTACAGAACATCAGTTATCTTATCCCTCAAAGACACATCTCTTGTTGAAAAAATAAAGCGAAGAAATAATGTACTTCTGTGAAATAAGGACTTTTTTCAAGACAATGACAAAGTACTTTTGGAAATATTCTGCAAGCTGTATGAGATGTCCCTTTATAAAATAGGATATTCCTGTTTTATTGGTCCAATGTCAAAAGTATAAAGAAACTTGTTTTTGCTAAAAATAAAATCATAAGGTAGCATGGTGGCACAGTGGTCATCACTGCCACTTCCCCCCTGGGTTCAATTCCTGGGGTGCTATCTGTATGAAGTTTTTATGTTCTCCCTGTGTCTGCATGGGTTTCCTCCAGGTGAAAGTGGAATACTGATCATTGTGAACTGGATACTGGAGGAGCCTATACTATCTGATGTTATGCAGTCATTGGACTATTGCTCAGAATTCAGCTCCCAGAGTTCTCAGCGCCTCAGGTTTTCATACCTTCTAGCAGCTCTAAGCTGGCTCCGCCCCCAGTGCTGACGTGGCTGACCTTGTCCTCGGTGTCCCACTTTGCACAGCAGGTGGCCGTATCACCCCCACCTTGGATAGGAACACAGCAACGTGAGCTGTCCATTATAGCCCCCACACCAGCATGACAATTCACAAAAGGTCCAATCAAATCCCAGCACAATTCAGGCAGCTTTAAAACATTTAAGGTCAATGTGCCACCACTCCTGTGGACAGTTTTAATGTTTTTAGTTCTGTAAATTCTTAAAATACCATTGATCACTAAAATCAAGTTTAAAAGACGGAAAAAACACCTTTTAGGAGTCTTTTCGACATCACGCCTCTGAGACATCCATTTAAACACAAAAGAGGTCAGATTTTAGATGTGAATTAACTGGTCACATACCTGCCAAAACACTAGATTAACTATTCAGTATTTAGCAATATTTCCTATGGAGGTTAAATTCTAAGCTATAGGTACCCCTTAGCCCCATCTAGTGGTTGAATTGGTTTGCAATTACAAAACATTTTACTTTGATTCACTTTTGAGGCAAAATGGACGTTTCCAGTTGTCTCTGGTAGTGCCAAATGTCCAAATCCTGTTTCAAAAGCTAAATCTCCTTTTGAAGTCAGGAATGTTAGGGGGTGGTTAATTGAACCACATAACCCTCAACAGTCTATATTTAGGTATTTATGTTGATTATTCCAATATCTTCAGTTAATTAAAGAGCTATTTTTCACCACATGAGGAATCCATACCCACTTAGATTCACTGAAATTCCAAACATTTGCCAATTTAATATAGATCTTGTTTGCAAATAAATACGCAAACAATTGATACTGGAAACTTCCCGATAAGATGTAAATACTTTCAAATAACAGAATGCTAGAGCTTCTACATTTTGCATTTATTTTTTTCTTGAATCTATACAGCCTGGACCTGTAAAACCTCCTCAATCCTCTTCTTTTAACATGGTAGATTCATTAACCCCAACTCACGACCAAGTGAAGGTGCCTATGTGCAAGCTTGTAGCCAATCCAGAATCTTTATTTTCTCAGCCAAGATTAGCACTTTCCTACTTTTATGCTTTCAGCATCACCACAGGCTGATAACTTGCGGACACAACGCAGGAACAATATACTACAAATTGAAACAAAGGAAAGTGCACAGCGAAACACTGTAAAGCATAGGAGAAACAGAGTATGGACCAGGAAGCTGGCAGCAGCACAAAGATGCCCAGGAATACCACAGGATTCCTGAGAAAAATGCAGGATTTTGACACAGGCATGCAGCCTAGTGGAATATATTTCAAGGATTAACCCATGTTATAGCATATACTTCATACAGCACTTTTTGGTTACATTTATTTTGTGCTTTATAGAGAAACTGAATTGGAGGGGGGTTACTGTATTCAGTTAATAAACAATTTGTTATCATTGTTCATCACTTACTAGCCAGGAAATAAAATGTGATTTTCCAGGTTTTCTGGGAATTGTGAGAAGCCACCACAGTTTTGAAAGCAGTTTTCTTTAGAAAACAATATGGAAAATGTATCTGGGAAAGAAAGGCTGAAGATGGCCTTTACTTACCGATAATGGTGATGCAGCCCTTCTGAGTGGCCTCTACCACTTTATCCATGAGGTTCTTGGTTCCACTGGCAAATTTGTCCCACTCGAACACTCCTACAGGTCCGTTCCACACGATCTGCTTGGCTCTCCCCACGGCTTCTGCAAACTTCTTTGAGCTCTCTGGGCCACAGTCCAGGCCCTGAAGTACAAAGATAAAATGGATAAGAGCTTGGAAAACAGCACTTGAGAGGTAGAAGCCCTTAATACATCAGACATTAAAGTAGAAAAAAGTTATATAATGAGATCTAACTTGCAGAGAGCTACTGTTTTCTCTTGGTTAAAACATGTTTTTCTAAAGACTTGGAACACTTTACAATAAAGCAGGAGATTTAAGTAACCTTCAAACTTAATTTGAAAAAAAAAACACTCATTCGATAACCTAGGTTTCCATAATAAATCTAGTAGCTAAGTGTTTAGGAAAAAGTGATTTCAGGGGACATAAAACAACTTATTTGTGGGGAAAAAAGATTCAATCCAGGTAAGAAGTTCAATACATACAACATTAATCAGAAATTTACAACATGCTGCTGAAGCTTTACATAAGTTCTATAAAGCATTCATTGATAATAGTGATGAGACTGGGTTAAGTATAAACAATCTGTACCTGCATGTCTGTTTCTTGTGGTTACAATACTAAAAATTAATGTTACCCTGTGTAAGGGCCCCCTCCAAGCAAATAAAACCATAGTGTTTGTAAATATGCTTTAATGTTTTACAGATCCTCAGTTTACCGTTAACCTACATTTATATATCTTAAATGTGAAGATGTTTCAATTGCACCCGATTCTGTAGCAGTGACAAAGCTATCCAACCGCCTTATGCAAGGAACTCCAAAACCTTAATTTGGAATATCACTGCATATGAAGTCTACATAAACTAACAAGACTGCTGTAATTGTTTTAAAGCACTGGGATGCCAAGTTTTGCAACAAGCTAATATTCTACTTGTTTTTGGGGAAAAAATGGCCAATTTTCAGAACAGAAAATCAAAGCAACACTATGTTCATAGCCTTTACTTCAGGATCTGAAACTCATCCAGGAGAATTTAACATCTGAAAAGTTTCAGCATTTCCCTTACAAAAGTTCTTCAAATAAATCTGGATGTTCTAAAGGAGATGCGCGATTCATAGAACAGCAATTGTCTAAGAAGCTTTCTAACCATCCAACCAGCAGGGATTCCACCTTCCACAGTTGCTGTCCCAGTGGCAGCTTTCTCATCAAACTTATCAGCAGTGACAAAGTCAATAGGCAGCGTGATGGTCACTCCATTCTTCTCCGCTTTGGCCATCAAGTCCTTGACGATCTTTGCTCCCTCGTCATCATAGAGGGAGGTACCAATCTGAAACAAAATTCACATAATTGTCATTTTGGATTTAGGTATTATACACATTACAGAGAAATTTACCCACAACTTCCAGTTTCTTCCCACAGTTCAAAAACAAACTGGAACGTTAACTGGCTTCTGTGGAAATTGGCCCTGGTGCGAATGTGTGCATATCTGTGTCTGCGTGTGCCCTGCGATGTACTGGCATCCAGTCCATGGTATACCCTGCCCTGTAAGTACCAAAAGCAAAACAATCCTTTGAATTTTACAATAGTTCTTCATTCATTGATTCCAGGACCCTAGTAAATCTGAACAGTTTTAGATTGCCCTCTGCCTCCAAACACACCAACAAAGTCTGCAACTAAATTTGACAGTGTCGCCTTTGCTTAATCTTACCTCCATGTTGTTGAGGACTTTCAGGAATGTGAAAGCCATGCCACCCCCAATAATCATCTCATTGACCTTATCCAGCATGTTGTTAATCAGCTGAATCTTATCCTTAACTTTAGCCCTAAAAGGATAAAGATAAAAAGGACTTACCCACCCAGCAGACTGCTTTCTTACAAGAAGAATAACTGTCATGTGGATACTAAGATAAGATCACTTTATTAGCCATATACAATTTCTTGCATTAGGAATTTGTCTTTTTGCATATCCCAGCTTGCTCTCCATGAGACACACAGGGAGAGAAGCTTGGGGTTAGAGCACAGGGTCAGCCATTTATATGGTGCCCCTGGAGCAGTTGTGGTTAAGGGCCTTGCTCAGGGGCCCAATGGAGTAGGATTCCTCTGCCGGCTACAGAATTTGAACCGGCAACCTTCAAGCCACAGGTGCAAATCCTTAGCCACAGAGCCACCTCTCCACCCAGAACTAGTAAACAATTTAGAAAATAAGTCTTCAAAAGCTGAAAACGCATAGAGACGTCTGAAGATCATCAGTTTAAATTAATAGTTAATTTCACGTTGGAATACAATACAAACTTCTATGAGATGTTTATCTTTTGTTCAATACTAAATATACTTCATCCAGTACTATCTGGCTTAAATGAAAAATTTTACCATGCCTATACATATTACCTAGTCTCTGTATTAATAATGATACTCTAGATAAGCTGGACACAAAATCACTGATTGAATGTGGCAGTTACACAATATGAGGAATATCCTCCCTTTGATTAGCCACCAGTTTCAACTTTTCAGCTCAGCTAAGCCTGAAATACCATCCACTGACAGCAAGCCTTTCTGCTACATTAAGCATTTCAGAACTGTGGTAGAAGATAAACAGTTCAATATTACACAATACAGAAAAATTGGTAGGATATAGCCATTCAACCCTGTATGTGATGTGAAAAGAATTTGTCAGAGAATTTTATATTGTAAATAAAGCATTTTTAAATACAAAATTTCTTGAGTGTCTCAGAAAGCAGTGTTCTATGTGATGCATCAATGAATCCAAGAGTAAACTGAAATAATGAGCTCTGATCATAGATTGATTACTATGATAACTGCAGGCGGAGTGGTGGCACTGTGGCTAAGAATCTGTGCCTGTGGCTGGAAGGTTGCTGGTTCAAATCCCGTGGGCGGCAGAGGAATCCTACTCGTTTAGTCCCCTATGCAAGGCCCTTAACCCAAGCTGCTCCAGGGGCACAGTATAAATGGCTGACCCTACGCTCTGACACCAAGCTTCTCTCTCCCCATCTGTCTCATGGAGAGCAAGCTGGGGTATCTGAAAAGAAATTCCTAATGCAAGAAATTGCATATGGCCAATAAAGTGATCTTATCTTAACGACCATTGGAACTCTGTAGTTCATGTCAAAACAGAAATACCCATGATTTACTTATGGTATTAGTTATAAAGGAGTATAGTAACACTGCAAAGTGCCAGAATTCTGGCTTTCTCTTATGACATTGCAATGATCAGAAGTCCATAAAAAAATTCACAAAGCAGTTAATTAGAATCCGTCTACAAAATAATTTTTACACCTATAGACAAGCCATTGCCTATCAGTAAAAGTTTCAAGTCCACCAAGTCAACAGGTTAAGAGCAAAGAAGAACGATTAAAAAGATGATTACATTTTATTTAATTGGATCAATGCAACCGTTCTCCCCAGAGAACTTTAACCCTTTAGGATCATACTTGAATTTACTCAACTAGCAGGGCAAACGTTTGTTCTTTAAAAAAACATTTAGGAATTTCGAGTTTTTTTATATCTATTACATTGTGAATCTGGTTGCACGTAGCCACAAATGTTATAATTGCAGTTTGCAAAGGGTATGCAAGATCTTGTACACAACCACACAAGAGTTAACTAGGCATATTATAACATTTTCAGTTGGAAAAAGTTCCCTGGAAGGCCCTGATAAGCCCTGAAGTCTCCTTTTGATTCTTTGGACATACCCTCCCAGAATAGCAAGGAAAGGTCTTTCTGGGTTCTCAAGTGCCTTGGCGAAGTAGTCCAGTTCCTTCTTCATGAGGAATCCAGCAGCTCTCTGGGGTAACTGCACACCTACCATGGAGCTGAGAGAAGTAAAATACAGATGAGGTGACAAGAACAGTACTACCATAATGTTAAATAGTATTCTTACCTATTAATGACAGTCCCAACAGAGGTCAATCTTGATAGAATTTCCCTTCACCTATCGTTCAACTATTTTCTCATTTAAGAACAGTTAAAAATGAGAAGAGACCATTTGTTCTGTTTAGATCAGCGTAAGTAGTTAATTGAACCACAGATCTCTATCCAGCTGTGTTTCTTGAAAAAGGTATCAGCTTGAGCACATGGCTGGGTAGTTTGTTCTATACGCCCACAACCTTCCCATGGGTAGCTGTTACTTGAGTCCTTTGGGGTTGTGTTTCTCTATTCATTCTAAAGAAGGCTGGGTTGACTTTGTCAATCCCAATGCTTGAGTCAGGTCCCTTTGTAGTCTTTGCTGTTCAAGACAAAAAAATTCCATCAGCCTACAGTGAAGTACCATTCCCTTAAGCCACAGAAATTTATATAACACAAAAATGTTCACTGGTGCACTGTATATACCAGTGTTCAAAAAGAAATTATTTGGTTACAGGGAGAGGTACATGACAATGGAGGTGTTTAGAAATCTAGATAAAGTGTGTAACACCTGGCAGTGTAAATATTTACAGCTTTGAAGATGAGGGGATGTTTACCGAGATGTAGGGGGTTCAGTGTTTGTGATCAAAGTAATATTGACCTTTACCTTGGTTTACCTTAGGAAATTAAGTTCTGGGTAAATGATTATGTTTCAATCAAAATTCCAGAAATACACCATATAAAATCAGAAGAAGAGAAAAAAAAGAAAAAGAAGGAGAGATCATGAGAGAGAGGAGAACAGGAGAACCAAAACTTTAGCTAAGTAGTTTAACCTTACTAGAGGGAGCTTGAATTTCCTGAGTAAAGAACAAACCAGTTAAATAAGCCTTTCCTGCTTGGGGTGCATTTTTAGAATAGGGAGATAGGCTCCCATTTTATTTTGTGGCTTTAACCTTTCCAGAGGCAGTATTGCATTAAATTTAGAAGGCGGCTTCTCTTATTTGCCCTCTTAGGCATTATTTAAGAGTCGCATACTTGAGTAGCAGCTTGTGGTGTTCTGGGTGAACTACGACACAGGACTCCGAAACACCTTGTTTATAAAATTGTAAATACAGTAACTTGTGTGTTGTACATTTATGTTGTATGTAGTGTGTGTGACTGTCACAAATATTTATTAGTTTTATCACGTGCCTGGATTATTACTCTTTTCACAAGGCTGTGCCAGAGAACAAAGAACTCACCTGCCTCTAATTATACAAACTACTCAGGTATATTCTTGGCAGAAATATTTATGTTAGGGGTTCAGATCATTTATTTTAGCTTTTAATTTATCTGCTTGGCTGATTCCCGATTTTCTTAATTTTCCATACACCTCCCCCATTTGTAACAATATTTACATCAACAAATCCCCATGACTGGTACTTTTCATCTGATTTTGCTTTCAAACATACTAATAGAACCTGCTGTCATCATGAAACCCTAATTAACACTGGAAGCCAAAACCTACCAGCACAAATATGTTTCCCCATATGAATAGAAGTGCTCACTTTTTATATTTACTCACAAAAAAGAAATAAGAACTGAAAAAAGGGCTACAAAACAGAAAATTAAAATATACCAATAAGACTACTTATAAGAACACGTAAGTGGTCTCTTCCTATTATGTTTTTATGTTGCTGTTAAAAGTCATACCTGTGAGCTCTGTGTGCAGTTCCAAATGCATCATTGATGTATACATCGCCTAGTTTAGACAGGGATGCTCTGAAAACCTCCACCTGCTCTGGAGATGCTTTGGTCTGCAAGGAGAAAAGAAAAAAATTATCATCATTCTTCCAGCAGAGTTCTCTCTTGTCATCAGAACAGACTACTAGCATGCAGGAATAATGACACTCCTTTCTCACCTTTTTCCTCAATCAACCCACATTCAAAGTTGAAGAAAAGGCTTAGAACAGTCAAGTAGTCTATGCCTGACTGCACTCTCAATCTCTAAAATGACTTTACCCAGTGAAAAGTCTGACTCAGAAAGAAAAATGATTCAATTGGTGTTTTAACAAGTTTCAGCAGATTCACAGGAAAGCTCTCTATATTTAAAAAAATGATGTAAAACACGCATTAAGGTGGCACACCTAAATCGAGGGACAAAATGACACCACCTATGAAATTAAACTTCTATTGCTCACTTTTAACACTTTTGGAGCAACAAATACATTGTTTGCCACACGTTAAGTGTCAAACAACATTTTCAGACAAAGCACAGGAAACACTTTAAGGGCAAACGGCCACAGCAAAGTACAGAAAACAAAGCTGTCTTTACCAACTTTTTTGCCAGTAAGATTCAAGCCTCAGAAGGAAGTTACAAAATCTTACCATGCATTGCAAAACATGGAAAGCTATTTTACAGACAGGAATTTATAAAGAGGGTTTACTCATTTGCTGGGATGTTTAATTAGGATTAGATTTATCCAATAAAGATACAACCATCTCCAGACTAAGGGACTTGTCTGCCAGGATGGCAAGAGAGAAATACATGAAATGGCAGACAATAGAAAAGGGCAGTGATGTTTAATGTTGCTCTTGATGTGTGACAAGGACATTTTCACGGTGTTATCCATCAAGAAAATCTTTGTGTCAGGATTTCTAATTGTGAGCTTAATAATGTGATGACTACAGTGGTGAAGACAGTAAATCTTCTTGATGCTCAATGTACAAAGTGTCAAGCTCAGTTTGAGGAAGTGGACAGTGGGTACACGCAGCACTGTCCACTTCACAGCAGTGTTCATTAGCTCGGCCTGGAAAGGTTTTGGCATGCTTTGAGGATAGATCCTGTCGGAAAAGGTCAAAACTATCCCTAACTGAATGATAAATGTGTCACACATGTTTCTAATGGACATCACAGTGCAATTGAACTCAAGCTCTGTCTGTAGGGTGCAGACTAAACTGTTACGTTATTGTGAAACCTGCCATTTTTTCTTGGGTCACCATCATTCTTGACTGTCCGTTATTTTCAACATCTCAAAGAAACATTATTTCATTTGTGCTGCCGAGATTGAAATGTACATTTAAGAACTTGCATTGGAATTTTGTTTTGGTAGATTTCAGGATTTATATGGTTTTGGCTTGATCTTTGCTTTTTTAATCAAATCAGACAATTTTGACAAAATACAGCTCACTGAATTACAATGCTCAGACTTATAGACTTCAAAGTTGAGGGATTTGTGGTGCACATTTGAGGCGACCTAGAGAAATAACAAGGTCTCCATCATAACCTGCTCTTTGCTCCTGGAGCTGGTTATCAACTGTATCTGTGGCTTGTGTGCTGTTTAATGTATCAAATGATAGTTTAATGACAACTAAGATTTGGGAACTTAACAAGGACAAGAAACACACTAAACAGTAAGATCTGCATCTTTTTTAGTGAAGCTGCTAAAATGCAAATAGTATTACTGATGTTAAAAAGTATGAGTGGTACACAGAATCAAAAACAGAAATAAAAAAACTTTGGCACACAGCTTCTAAAAGGTTGCCAACTCCTGATCTCACCCAACATCTTCCTTTTAGTTTTTATAAATTGCCAATTTTGCAGATCTTTGTAATTTTACTGCAATTACTACTTACAAACTAGGGAAAGAATACCCCAGAAACGTATGGCAGGAAATAGGTCCTCAGATTGAGATTGCATTTGCTCTTGAGAAACAGACTGTAAATGATGATCACTGTGCATTCACTAGGAAGAAAAGGTCATGATCAGGAGTCATTTGCCAATCTAAAAGGCAGCCCTGAGAAAGGACTTGAATGGCACTGCTGCACCCTTCCTGAAATGCATATGGACCTGCTTTAAACACTCAGAAAGGTCAGGGTACTGTACACTTGACTGCAGCTGCCCTCACTGTATCTCCAGTACTCAAGTGCTGCATTCCACTTGGGGCTCAGAGGACAAGAAAAGCAACACCATCCAGATCGTCTGACCCAGTGACCTTCGTGCAAATGTCACAAGGTTCGTACTGTGGTTAAGAGCAGAGACCAATGCTGCCTAGAATAGCAGGCAGAGACTAGCATTTAGACCCATTTTCTGGCTTCTACCTTACTAAACGACATCTGTTAAATGTGGTTTCATCTAAATTAAACAAATAATTTGTAGGTGGGTGAGTCAAACTACTAAAACGTTATTATTAAACTATTATAACTAAATCTTTCCAAGGAAAGGTTTAAATTGTTAAAAGACTATACTGTTAAACTGGAAAAGCAGAATGTCTGCAAATTACTTCCAAATATTTGTCTTAGGAAGACAAGTCTTCTTTCTGGAAACCAAAACAACAATTATGGTTGAGTGTTTACAAAACATGTACGCATGTTCTATAAGCCATATATTACTAACATTTTCCATAGAATCTTAATGGTTTATTAAAGGCTTCAATATCTCCTGAACAGGAGCATCAGAATTATACATGAATAAAGACATTTCTTTATTTGTCAATGAAAATATTGAAACCTTTCAGCTCACCAGATGAATTACATATGCGAATGCTGCTCTTCCTCCTCCCTTAGACACAGCTTATTCTGTGAAAGACACCTCACCTTGTTTCCTGCTGCATCCTTGCCCTTGCCCTCCTCCTCCACATGGAAGCGCAGGTTCTCCAGCAGGATGATGGTCCCCGGAGCAGGATCAGCACAGACCTTTTCCACTTCTGCCCCCACACAGTCCTTCATGAACACCACTTCCCTGTACACACACCATACACATGACAGCCGTCCAGAAGCAGGTTTCCAAAAACGGGTAAAGAGATACTACAGTAAAGATAACGGTCTTCTTATGAACATGTTTTTATTTAAATTCCTAGCTCCAGCATTTCTACATATGCTTTTTCCATGTAGTGGTTGATAAAAGTGATTCTGTGCTTTTTATAACACAGCCTGCCTGCCTTTCTTGCAGCCAGCCTATCCAGACACAAGATACATGTTATTATGATACCATTATTTACTGAAATACAGATGGACATTTTTTAATACTTGGTCAGTCGTGCGGCAGGGCAATTGTAAACTGTAAATAACTTTAAAAGCTGGTAAATCTCCATAGGCATTAATGACTCAAGGGCAAAATATTTTACGCAGTGTGTCCTCATCTATGATGGCCTTACCCCCCTAGAAGTGTCTTCAGTTCAGCAGCCACGGGTTCCAGGGAATACTTGTCAGGCATGGGAATCCCATCAGGGCGACCCAAGTGACTCATGAGCACCACTGACTTAGCTCCATTATCTAGGCAGTGCTTGATAGAGGGGACTGCAGCCTTAATCCTATGAAACAGAGACAGGTAAATAGGTTGGGTGGAGGACTGCGTCGGTGTGCAAGTTCCAAAGGAACAAGTAAAGCTTAATTAGAAAATGAATTAAAAAAAACAATATTTTCATTCAATTAATCCACCATTAAAATTCCTTGTAGCATGATTACATTGATCTTTCTGCTTCTTCCCTTCACAAGGATTCAAAGACTCCTGAGCAAGAGGACAGGAAACTGGAAAAAGCCTCCACAGATGAAATACTAGATTTATCTGTGAACAGACAACACAGCAGCCAAACAATGTGCCACTCTGTCTTAGTTCACTCAAATTCGTTTTCTTAGTAGCAATTATTTTTAAGAAATATTTAGAATGGAAGTTGTGCTCTTTGGCCTATTAGCATGTTTGGAGCAAAAGGTGTTCCAAATAAATGGTATACATAAACATAAATGGTATAAGATGTTGAGGAAGGGGGAATTAAAAAAAAAACAACTACCAACAGAACCTTAAACAAAGTCTTGCTCTCTTTATGCATTTCATGAAACTATACCATCAGAAAAAAAACATTTAATCAATGACTTGAATTATTCATAATGAATTTAAAATATATTCTAAATTTAAAATATCTACCCAGCAAGATCAGTTAAATGTAATTTAAAGGTGATCTGTTACAATGTAGAATACGTTTTATCAAAGCAAAGCTCCCTTTTCCCCAACTTGCAGTTTTGCAAATACAATTTAACTGGAACATTCATGATACAGTATCACACAGCCAAATCTCAGTAGTGTCATCTGCTGTTAAGTGCATAACAGTACGCTGACCTTGTTGAGCTTCAGGATATTAATCTGATCTACGGGCATATGAAATAATTTAAAGATCCAAAATACCAATACTTCTTAGAATGTGAAACACAAAATGTGACCCCAGGTCTCACATTATAACAGGTAGCACTCTATTTGATTGTTCAAAGATAATGAAGTACATTTTCTGTGTTTATACACTCACCCTAGCGAAAAATAAATTGTAAAATTGTAGGCCTACATGGATCCTCGTTGCATAATTTACAAGACAGAACAGTAACCAGGCATTATATAACCACAGCCATCAGCTTAAAATATCCAATTACCTTTACCCATTTCTGGATATTTATAGTAGAACACATTCACTACAAACTCTAAATGACATATTGAATTCCTAGCAAAACATGAAGTTGGAAATAAGATAACTGAATACTGAATTATGTGGCCATTTTGTAAGATGACTTCTATCTCCTGGATGACTAAGCAGGCATTACCAAATATACACTATTTCCTTTACAACTAGAATGGTATTTTCATTCAGGCTTCCTGACAGCCCAGCCTTGAAACAGCAGCAGGGAGCAATGTTAAGAATGGTTAGAATCTGGAATCCAGATCAGAGAATTTAAATTGGGTTTAAATCTCAAATAGGATATGACTGCTGTAACCCTGGGCAAAATACATCACTCAGGTTTTACCTTGCTGTAAAAAAAACAACAACACTTTGTTCTCAATTGACTTATTATACAAAAACAATCAATACTCCAGATGGTTTCATAATGTTAACGTCTTAAATTTTAAGTTTAAACAGCAAGCTAAATCCTTACAATTACAAATCTTCACTAAGATTTATCTACAACAGGGAAGAGGTCTACACAAAAGTGTTCAGAATAGAATTAATTTTACATATCAAGGCTCTCAGAATGTTTTACCTTTGGTTGTTCGTGATTTGATTGTTCTTCATGGGCACATTGAAGTCAACCCTTTAAAAAAAAGAGGAAAAACTTTAAGTAACATTTGTTTCAATGAGTGAGTGAGTTAACTTGTTACACTTATATATTGTAGCTCTCAAATCCATTGGCCTAATTAATCTAATGAAAAATGTCCAAAAGCACACATTGCTTATATTTGAAAATTGTCTGTGGAAATATCAAGATTTGTTAATAGCTCTATTTCTGACATTATTTTCAGACCATTTTAATTTCTAATTTTCTGAATAAACCCTATGTAAAGAGGGAGAGTGTTAAGAAGTAGAACTCGATTACTTCACAACTATACTTTCAAAAGCGACTCATGTCAGTTAAGTATCAGAAGTATTTCAGGGGTCACAGTAACGGTTTTTGGTAATTATAACAAGCTACATTACTCACACTCCAAGACACTGGCAGTGAAAAGAAAAAGGAAATTAGACAACAGGAAAACCTCATTGCTTCTCCTCACTCTAGGGCTTTTGATTTCCTTTACATTCACTAACCAATCATTTTCATTAGGCGTGTAAGAGAAATCTTAGTCAAATGAAAAATACAGCACACAAATACAACTTTTGAGTGGATTCAGCTTAAAAAAACTGTCAAATACAAAACATATGGGTCATAGGTCTAGAGATGAATGGCCTAGTGTGGAAACAAAATGTTAAAAGAAAATGACCAGCCAGTATCCAAATTGTTGCCTTTGATGCCAACAAATACTACACATTAGAAGATAAGACAGACAAGTGGGGGCAAATGTTTGGCCAAAAATGGCATGAAAAACATGAATGATATAAGTACAGTCCCTTACATATTGAGAATAAAAACATGTTTTTCCTTCAGCTGTTCAGGAGCAAACCAACAGAATCCAATAGGGCCCTCCTATTTTTGTGTGCTTGCACGTTGCTATTGATTAACTGACCTGCTTAGGAAATAGGTTAGCCTCAGAGAAGATTCCAGAAAAGGTACAATGTAGGGAACTAGGCCTATGTCAGGCTGCAGTTCAGAGTCTGTCAGAATACCTAGTGTCGCACAGCAGCACGTACTGTATACACACGCTTGCCCTTCTTACGTAACGCCACAGATGTCCCTCTCCTGGCAGCCATTCAGAATTCCCTCTGACAGAAAAAAACTGCACTGTAAGCAGCAGCATTCAGACAGTTGTCTGAACATGCACCACTCCACATCTGAATCGATACTTATGTTAACTATTGAACAGACAGGAAAGACTAGTATGAGGTTAGAAAAGGAGATGAAAAGAGTTGGGGGACTGAAAACAAAAGGTGAAAGCTAAAATTCAACATTATTAATGAGCTGCACATGTGCAGGGTGATTTCCCATCATTCAGACAAGGCCTGACTTCACAGTGTCATAGCGTAAGGCAGTCCATGACTAGATCAATCCATACAGGCCTCAGCTGAGCATCTAATTCAGGAAAAGGGCAAACAAAAATGTCTGTTACAGCCATCCCTGTCCTTCATTTTTCTAAGCCTCCCACAGCACCAGTGTTTATTTTCAGATACAGAGGTTCAAGAACTTGTTTATTTATGGTTTGTTCAAGTGGTTATTTTTCCAAGTCCTGCTTTTTCTAGTGTTTTCTGATCTTATTAAGAACATTTCTAAATCACTGAATTCCACACAATCCACAAAGCATGAATATCTGGTTAGAAACTATTTTTATAGCAGCTAATTTTTAAAGCGGTAGTTGTGAGTTTTTAAATTTCAATTCAAGCAATGTGACGATGACTCAAGTACATAGATTGCGGAGGAAATTAAGCATGCCACGTTATGTTGGAAAGCAAACCACTATTACAACAATTACTCAAACGTAAAACCTGCTGTAGCTATCTGATAACGTAGCTTTTGTCCTTAACCTGATACTTAAAGACGGTTTACTTCACTGAAAGACTATAACAGCTTAAATGAAGTAGGACTGTAAAGCATAGCTAAAGCTCGTGGTGTTCAGGAATCGTTAGCCAATCCAAATTCATTATGAGTAACTCCACTGCGAACATCACTCAGCTCCGTTAACAGAGAAAGCTTTGGGCATCTATTGTACTTGTAGTTAATACTCTAATCTACCAGACTGCATTGCTCACGTACACTGTAATCCATAACACAAACGACATAACAATGTCATTAAGATTTCATATGCAACAACCTTTGAATACCTAGATACTAACATACATTTGAATAGAAACGTGATCAGTTGAACTTCAGAAAGCCATTACTTCCTGCATCTTGGGTATCCAAATTAATTAAAACGACCAGCGTGTATCTGAAGGCGAGCTAACGGTATTCAGTAATTAAAACATTTAGGCGACGGAATACATAACCCAGTTGTGGAATTAAAATAATTAGCAACGGTTTCATGTTGGCAGTCACGTTTATAACCCAGCCCCCGCAATGAATGGTACTTTCTATTAAATTGACGCCATGTATAAACTTTAGAGTTTCTCACCTCATAATCACCCTTTTCCCCTTCACATCTACTTTGTCCAAGGTGAGTTTGGTAGAAAGAGACATTTTGATGAGGTCAGACACTTGCTTCAGCTCTCACAAAAACGCTTCCACTCTGGAGTACTGAGTCTTTCCCGAATGTGCTCGACCTTAGAGCCGCAAAGAAGCAGACCCTGGGGGCTGGTCTGTCCACGCCCCTCTGTCTGTGCAGTACCTGCTAAGTCGTCAGCAGAGTGAGATTTCACTCAGCTAGTGGCCGCAGGAGGTGTCAATTATGTTAAGCCGTCCCCCTAAAACGAAAGAAGGAAAAATTGCGTCTGCAGCCTGTGACGCAAAACTTGTCATTTCACGTTCAGCACGGAGGCTTGTGGCGAGAAAAAAAACTTAACCGTTTAATATGAAGCATGCTGCATCTTGTGATGCTTTACTCAACATGTTCCGAAAACGTGACGGCTGGAGGGGTAAATAGTCGTTTAGCAAATTTTTAATTAAATACAATACCTGTGCTGATCAGTTTCCTTATTGCGAGCTGTAGGCCTCATCAGGCATGGAAAGAGTTTGTTGAGATTATGTCGTGTTTTGTAACAAGTGATAGGGAAACTAGTAGGATTATAGGGACAGCTGTCAAAACTGTATGAGTTACAACATACCGTAACAGCAGATGAAATAGGTGACAAATATATAATGCATGACCTTTATTCATTCTTACCCATATGACAGAGATCACTGAATAACGAACACAATTCCGGGTTTAAATAGATAAACGAATTTACACACATCATGAAAAGTAGTAGTATATACTGTATGTTTGTGTTCTGTACTAAAAGTAAGGATTAGGATATAAAGAAATATGCGCACTTCTAAAAAATAAAATTAATAATTTGCCATTTTTTTTAGTAGTGATTCTGTTACGATTCCTTGCCTTAATTTTAATATTGTATGAATTATCTTAGCATTGCATAGCTGTGCTCCATTTGGAGAAAATGCTCATGTAAAATTCACAAGCTTTAATATATAATGCATTATTGTTTAAAAAGAAAAGAACCTGACGCGCATTAGATACATTTCGGGATTAAACTATCATAAAGGTATGAAAAGATGTCATATTACCATTGCTTGATGTACTGTATACAATTTCGATGCTTTGCTTTTTATTTTTACCAGTAGTACTAATTAATATAAAATGAGCTCTAATGAGATTGGGAGATGTGAGGCGACCCTAATACTAGCGTTGTTCAAATTTGTGAAGCTAGTAAGAAAAACACGACAAGCCAGAAAATTATTGTGTTAAGAAATGAATATAAGCTAAAACCCATTGGTTTGGTAGAGGAGCATTTCGACGTGCATTGGCTAAGGCGGCTGTCACTCAAATTGCACAGTGATGCATTGTGGTTGAGCCACTGCGTGCAGGCAAGAACGCACGTTTCCCATGGCCTAACAAAGAAAGACGTGACGCAGGAAACAGCACCCTCTCACGGAAAAACAAGGGAGTGCAAGCTTCTCTGTCTCCTGTTTCAAGGACACCACTCAACAATGAAAAAAAGAAAAAATGGACAAAAATAGCCAAATCGATGTTTTTTCAACTGCAATTTCAAAGTTATGAGGAAAGTGACAATTTTTATTTGCAAGTGCAATGTAATTTTATTGAACAGCCACGACAGATATTTTCATGATAATTAGCAACATTTGATATTAACAGGCATGATCAACAGGGGTTTACAATGAAATTGAGTAGTAGTGGTGTGTGTGGACACCACTTGAAGCAATACAAGTTCCCTAAAGGAAAATCCAGCTTTTGACCAGCTTGGATTTTGAGGTGGTCAAAGCTGTTTGTTTTTTTTTTTGCTGGTCTAGCTGGTTATATAGATGGTCAAGCTGGAACCCAAGATGAATGCTAGCTGCTGTTTGGAATCAACTGGTCAAGCTGGTCATTTTCCAACCAGGCTGACAGGCTGGAAATCAGCTGGTCAATTTCTAAGCAAGCTGGTAGCTGAGATGGATTTCTGGCTGCATATTCTTTATGAGGCTGAAAAACTGAAATTGATGGCAAGTAAAAATTAATCATATCTTTGATATCTTAATGTTATGTGCTTCATTAGATGCATTAGATGCAATCGCCTGATACTATTACTGAGTTATGTAGCCACATAAGAGCTGAACATACACCAAGGTTTGGTAAAATGATGTTGTCCTAATGTTGTCCTAAGTAAATGTAAATAATTACTTCAGTTATTTGAAACTACTATTGAGCAGAAATAAATGTTAACAAATACATTTAAAATGTATTTATTATTGTTTACATCAATAACACATAATCAATTAAATGAGTTGTAGTGACAATTCCACTTACATTACAGCAGAATGAATTAACTTGCTGATTCTATTCCTGTTTGCTTTGCCTCCATTTCTTTCTTTCTCCATCTCTCTCTCTAAAGAAATGTTTATGTATGTTTGACATATCAGCACAAGATCAGTCACATGTTGACAATCTGCAACTTTGACATATGCCCAGTTCTAATAAAAAATCGGTAAATCATGTACTTTTGAGTTTTCATTTAAAATGTTTAGTTGAACATGTTTATGTGATACAAGCAAAGTATCAACTCAAATGAACCCCGAATGTCATTCAGTCATTTTGTTTAAATATACCAATAGATAGTCTCACATCTCTGACCCTGCGCTCTGACTCCCAGCTTCTCTCTATCTGTCTGTGTGTCTCATGGAGAGCAAGCTGGGGTATGCGAAAAGACAAATTCCTAAGGCAAGAAATTGTATAGGGCTAATAAAGTGATCTTATCTTATGAAACCACTGAAACACTTTGTGTACATTTTTTTTCACAATTTTTTGCCCCAACATAATCCCTAAAACGGGCAGGCAACTTAACAAGCCTGCGACCTGGCTGTCGTGATGACTGCTCATGGTTATCAAGGGAGCAGGAGGTACTGTCCATTTGAGATGCTACCTGAGCTGCACTGTCATCTGATTCCCTTGGAAGGTCAGACTGTTGGACGCGTTGTGCAATGGACTGTTCATTAATTGTATGTCCGGCAGGAAGGTGGCGCTGCTTCACACCAGAGAAAATGATGGAAGGCAAGTCAGGGGTAGCACTAGGTACCTGCACATCTGGGTTGTCCTATAGTAGCACCCTTTGAGTCTGCTGAAGCTCGGCAGGTGCAGTTGGAGAGAGACATCCTGTCTGTGGATAAGCAGGTGTCAAATAAGCTTTTAGATGATTGTGATGAACAACTTGGGTATGTCCATTAGGGGAGTCTAATGAGTCTTTCTGTCTAATGACATACAGAACCCCATCTCCATCAGCAGGATGTATTGACTGTATGATACAGTATGGCCCTTGTTTACACCAAGAATGAGCTGGATTGTTCAACCAAACTAAGTCTCCCACGTGGTAAGGTGAGTACAGTACTTTACTTTTTTGGCATACTGGGCCTTTTGTTGTAGATGTGCAGCTTTACAATGATCCTGGCTTGACTGATAAGCGTGCTGGAGTTTACGACAAGCAGATGCAGCATATTCGGCTGGTGTTCCTGGGGATGCAGATGATCGTTCAGCCTTAGGAGAAAATAGTAAATGAACTGGCAACAAAGCCTCACAACCATGCACCAGATAGAATGGTATATACCCAGTGCTAGCATGTACACTTGTATTGTAGGCAAGCTACAATTCTCAGCAACGTTTCCCATGCTTCATGTGTTTGATATAGACATTTGGCCAGCTGGTCCTTTAGGAACCGGTTAAATCTTTCGATTAACCCATTACCTCCTGGATGGTAGGAGGAAGTTCTGGTCTTTGTCACAGCTAACATAAAGCATAGTTCTTTTACTAAATCTGCCTCAAACTCAAACATTGCCCAAACCGGAGGTCTCTTTCCTTGATCAAACCACGCTCATACTGCGCGCAGTGTAACATCATCCTTTTGATACTGGAGCAAGTCAAATGACAGTGTATGTGACAAGTCAAGAACCGAGTTGACATTTACAACAGGATGTGTAGCTGGTTCGGTGAACTTTGGTTTGGAGATTTCACTACAGTTTGTTCACTACAGGCCCTACTAGTGATGGTGTCAGGTGGATGTCTTGACAGAGCATCAGCATTTCCATGCCTCTTAACATCTCGGTGTTTGATGACCTAATCATACACATCAAGCTTTAAAGGTCAGCATGTTTTCTGTCCTGTCGGGTCACGCTCAATAGGCAATTTCTTCAAGCCCAATAAGGGACAATGGTCTGTGACAATAATAAAAGAAATGCCTCTGTAGCTGTGTCTCTCACATCCGGAATTTGAGCTGGTTGGGTCATCTGAACATTCCCTGTACCTCTGCTGAGACAATGCAGAGTCCTTTTCATAGCTGTCACACCACCCCTGCTGACGAGGGCTGCGCTCTGCATGGCCTGACACATGCTGGTCCCAGCATATAGGCTCATCGTAGCCATGGTGTTGCTGGTATGACCTGGCACCAGTACTGGGGCTGTGAAAAGGTCATCTATGACTGATGCAGCTGCGTGAGGAGAACTGACGAGCATTAGAATCTGATGTCGACAGTCACAGCAAGAACTGCTGTGGCTATCCCAGGGCCCCTCTGGGGACTGTGGTCTCCTACGTGGTGCAGATGAAGACTGGAACTCTGGGGAATGAAAATAGGTACATGCCTGGGTGTGAGTCAGTGACGTTACAGCTGACTGCAATCTGTCCACTTGAAGTGTAAGTTTATCTTGCTGGGCTGCTAGCTTGTCATCACTGGTGTTAGACAAACTATGCACTGGGGTGGAGAGAGCTGGCGGTGGAGTAGTCATTGGCACTGTAGCTGGGAAGATGCTATGGAATGTGGAATGCGCTATCTCATACTGGACAACTACCGTCAAGAGTGGTGACTCTAAAACAAAAACAGTGGTGACCAAACTCATACAATTTTGCTTGTGACTCAAGGTCAAGTCCAGCAATGAAACGCCTCAGGATTTCTCCTGTAATGGCAGTTTGCCCATAATCCGGGAAAGTTTGCAAAACATAGAGAAGCAACTCTGCTGCATACACCTCCAAAGGTTCCTTAGGCTGATGCGGTCTTGCATTCAGATGTGTTTGAAATGTCCTGAGTTCCTGTTTTTGTCCAAAAACTGATTGCATGTCCTTGCAAATGTTATCATAGTCACATTTCACTGTATCTGGGAGACTGTCCCAATAACTTAATGCAGCAC